GTCACCCTCATTAAATAAAGTCTTTCACTTTACTTCACTTCACTTTCCAAAAGAAAGAAATAGACCTTTTTATCAGTACGGCGGCCATTTTGAATTCTATTGTTTCAAATAGCCATTATAGGATGCTCAGGGGGCAAATTAGTATGTATTTGCCCCCTGAGTATCCCATAAAGCTATTTGAAACAGTAGAATTCAAAATGGCCGCCGTGTCAGTAAAAAGGTCTATTCGCATTGTTTGTGAACACCAAATATGGCTACCGTGACGTCATGTGAAAACGCTCCTTTAAGAGGTCTGGCCTATCACAGTTAACAACGGCAATCATGTCATTATGACAGCTTTTACATACACGCATAAATGATTTTATTTTATATCGAATTTACAGAGTAGCTAAACCATTGTAAACATAAAAACAAGAACTACTATTATGTTTGATTTGTCTACATTATAAAATTTAACTGATCAGTAATCATGCCTGAAAGGAGACTGTTTTCACGAGGCGTGAAAGGCCCGTTACCATGACAATCGTAAGGTAAACACAATATCGTAACACTTTGGGTGAATTGTATTCCAAACAATGTTCCTTACCATAGCACAGGCTAAGTTTTTTAATTAATATATAACAAGCTTTGATATATAATAAAGAATTAGATTATGAGCTTGAAATTTCTCTCGCGAGATAGTTTACGGAGACGCAGCTGTCAACTGTCATGCATAGAATTCGAGAGCGAATAATCTAACTGTTTTGCTATAAATCTACTAGTCGTTCGAAGCTGTCTATTACTACTTTTCTTTAGTTAAATTTTAATTTTTTCATACAACAACGCCTCGTCTCCCGCTATATCTGTTACCATCAACTACGACAATTACAAAAGATGGCATATCGACACAACATGTTTGCTTACTTTGTGTTGCGTGAGCACCTTCCTTATCATTCCACAGGAGCAAGAACACTAAGAAGAGCATTTTCATGATGTAGAAGTCTTTTCTTGTCGCACAATCTGTTGCCTTTTACTTGTTAATTGCTATTTCTGCAGAGAAATGATTATCAAAGTAACTGGAAGAATGCCCATCAAAGTTTCTTGGGGAGGGGGAGGGGGAGGGGGCAACGGTGTGACTTGTTAGGTAAGGTTAAAAAAAGCGCACCAAGGGTGTAATAACGTCACGTAATAATAGAGATATTTTAACAGGGGTTTTCAGAGGGGTCCTGCATACACAAAGTTGAGAGTTAAGAGCCTAAAAAGGTTAGCTGTTCTACATTTACAAAGTTAAAGTTAAGAATGTATAAATTATAAAATAAAATCAAGAAATACTCTAAGGCGTCTTTTAGAAGTAAAAATGTTGGAACTGTTCCTAATTCCATCATCTAGTAAAGTATTCCAATCAGTAGTCAAATACAAGAGTTGGGCAAAGGATTTCACCTTAATTATTATTTTCCAAGGTTCCTTATTTCAAATCTTCTAATCATTGGCATTTAATTTAAAGGCCTGAGTTTCTCGTATAAAGAGTTAAAACAAGGACTTCAAGATTCAAAATTTCAGTGGAATGGCGGTTTCGACCTTTTGATGTCCTGTCCCAAAGTCAACCGTAATTCACCTCTATCCTTGTAATCCAGCTTCTTCCCTAAAATACTTGTTCTATTTTGCTCTGTACAATCTCTGACTTTTTATCCAATTTATTGGTATATTTGGTGGCATTTGCAGCGGAAAATTAGAAAATACAACTTTCCATAACCAGCCGGCCGACAGTATCTTGAAATTACAAAGTTTTCGTACCTTTGACATTAAAAAAAACAAACTTTCCTATTAAATTTTTCCATTGCCATATGTTTTGCTTTACAGAGACTTGCGACACAGATAAATGATGCGCTCCAAAGTGACGGTAACTTCTATAATCGGGTAAGAAAGATACCCAAGAAATGCTAAAAGAGGAACGCGAACTTAATTAACTTATACCACCCAAACTTGTCGTAGTGAATAGCTTTTTATATTCAAGTTAGATGTAATGTTTGCTCACGATCACATAGACAAATATCTGGCTCTTACACTGGATGAATATTCATTCTGCACATTCATTCAACAAGTCAATAAGCCGCCTACCAGCTGCTTGGTTTATTGAGTTTATAATCGATTCTCGTGAAATTCTTGGCTATTTCGTATTGAATAGAGTTCAAACTTCGATTTAACGCTTGTGTGGATACAAAAGGTTTTCATCTCTCCTTCAATTGCAAGTTAGCGCCCTTAACATAACTGTATCCGAAACTTGTCATGTT